CGCCGGCCGGAGAGGGGAAGGCGACGCGGCTCGGAATGGGCGCCACGCACGCCATTTGCGGCCTCGAGGTCAAGCTCCGACACGCCTTCCAAATCCCACCCGCCGCACACAGCCGTGAAGCGAAACAAATGATAAATCACAAGTTTTCTTGACGACGTTAATCGTAAAAAAAAATGATAACAATGACAAGGACAAGAACAGAACACCCAAACAACACAACACAAACACCACCAACAATCAATAAACAACAACAGCAAACAATCATTAATAACAATAACAATAACACCATCAGCGACATAATCATCATAAAAAATAGCAACTCCATTAAGAGGGGCTTAGCATCTTCATGCCCCCCCCCCCCAACCCACCCACAACGGTAATCAGTCGTAAAAACTAGCGGTTGTTTCTTAGAAGTTTTCCGCAACCCACCAGCATCGTCACGGTCGCCAGAATCATCGTCTGTCAGCATCGTAAAATCGTAGCGGTTGTTTCTTAGAGTTTACCGGACACATCCGCAGGGTTCGTCGCGCAGCCAGCCTGTCAGATCCGTCTGTCATCGTCCGCCAGCCACTGTCAGCATCGTCGCCAGTGTCAGCACTGTCAGCATCGGTCGCCAGAGCCACGGTCACCAGAGTCACTGTCAGCATCGTCGTCACAGCCATTGTCATGATCGACGGCGTGTGGCGGAGTCCGAGACAAGGCGCTGGGAGATTGCGTCATCGGCGAGGCACCGCGTCGGGATCGCTACTTTTCCGCGCGTTGAAATCTCTCGCCAGCTGGAGGCGGCAGCTGGCGGAGAGAGAGGGACGCGGAATGCGGGAAGAAAGAGGGAGAGGGAGGAGGAGGAGAAGGAGAAGGAGAGGAGAAGGAGAAGGAGAAGGAGAAGGAGAAGGAGAAGGCAGGGGGAGGGGGAGGGGGAGGGGGGGAAAGAGGGAAAGAGGGAAAGAGGGAAAGAGGGAAGAGAAGAGAGAGAGAGAGAGAGAGAGAGAGAGAGAGAGAGAGAGAGAGAGAGAGAGAGAGAGAGAGAGAGAGAGAGAGAGAGAGAGGAGAGGGGGGGGGGGAGAACGGAGAGAGGTCAAAAAGAAATCGTGAGAGATAGAACGATGGCTCGCTCAAAAGCAAGATTTCTTCTAAATACTCCAACCGTATTTCATAAAAATAATTCATGTTGTACTCATGTGTCCAGACAACTATCGAAATAAAAAAATAATAATAATCTAATGCAAATACACACGCACAGCACATGCCAACAACCCCGCCCGCAGTTTCCCATCTAAGAATAACAGCAAGATCCCTCATAGGCACGCCCACTGGCACGCCGCCCGTGACATGCGCCCGGCCTAATCCCCGCTCACGAACAGCGTGCAGGAGGCCCAAGTCACGTACATCACCCCCCCCACCCCACCCCCTCTCTCTCTCTCCCTGGCACACACCTCCCTTCGCTCAACGCACGGCTTACACGAGCGGGTGTCATGCGCAGTACATGAGAGGGGTCCCCGCCCCGCCCCCCTCCCGCCGCAAAGCTCTGATGGCATGGGAGAGCATGACTCACGCTGGGTCACGTGTGCCGAGGCGGCGCTGGGGAGGCTGGCGAGGCGCCGTGCAGCTTCCACGCACCTCGCCATGCACATGCCGTCGCCCCGTCGCAAGGCAAGCAGCGGCGCCGCGCATGATCTCTTCCTCTCGCATGCACGAGCGGGAGTGCAGTCACCCGCCCCCTCCCTCACCCCCACCCCCGAGGACCACGACCGGAGACGGGGAATGAGCCACGTTACGCCACGTGACGAGGGCGCTGCTCGCTGTCGCCGCGGGCGTCGGCTCCGCCCGGAGTCCGCTGATGCGATGCCGCTCAGCGGAGCCGGGATAACTTCGCCCTCGTTCGCCTCCACTTCCCCTCGCCCTCGCCCTCGCCATGCATTTCGCCCATTTGACCGGGCCTTCCTCCGCCTGCAGTCGCTCTCAATCCCCTCGACCCCCCTCCTTCCCCTTCGCCACCTCCGCCGGGACCCCCTCCCCTCCAGCACCTCGTCGCGCCAAGGAACCCGACAGAAAGGCCCCAGAGAAGGCGCGAGAGAGGAAGCCCCGCCTGCACCTTGCGCGCCAAGGGTACACCGCACACGCGTGCTAATAAGTCCCTTAAGGATGGTGCAACCTCGCCACGGGTCGCTTGCCGGAAGTGCGTGCCACTCGCAATTAAAGGCACAAGGCACTGCGGAAGGACGGCGGGAGGAGGGAACGGAAGAAAGGAGAGAGTAAGGTCGAGAAGAAAGAGGAGAGGAGAAGGAAGAAGAGAAGTCCAGCAAACTTTCTCTTACTTCGGCAATCTCTCACATGCGAAAGAAAAACAAGGAGAAGAGCCAACAGAAACAAAACAACGAGAGATCTTTCGGAATATAGACAAGTGACACGACGAAAACAAGAAAGACGGAGATGAAGACAGATAAAGTCACCTTGGGGGAAGAGGGGAGCAGGGAGGGAGAGAGAAGAAAGACAAGACAAATAAAGGTAGGAGCGCCCGAGAGGGAGACGGGAGATGGAGGATGATAAAAGAGAGAGAGAGATAGCCACAGATAAACAGAGATGACTAAGCTGAGCCCGCATGTGGTCTGTGAGTGCGAGCAAGAATGCCAACCCCTCGAGAGAGAAAGTCCTCTTCCTCCTCTTTCTCCTCCTCCTCTCGCCAAACACTCAGGACTTTTCTCAACTTTAATTCTATTTCATCCACCTTCTGTTAAATCTTTATTTGATTTTTCCTCTTTCCAAACCACGACACTTTCCCCCCTTTCCTCCCCCTTTCAACCTCCCCAAAACACCCAATCTTCTCGTTTTCTGAAAATAACGACACAACACCTTAAAGAAAACAAACAAAAGAACCTGTAGCACTTTCCGCCAATCCAATCCCATAACACCAGGCCTATTACTCTATAAAAAAAAATAGGCCTATCGTTTACGTTCTGCTGCCATGAACACGCACATACCTTGTCTAAGTCGGCCTTGTGGCATACATTAGGTGAACAACGAACTTCTTTCGGAATATAACGACGCCATGGCCATCTGACTTAGTAGTTACATTACATATGAGAGAAAGGGAGGGAGGAGGGAGGGAGGGAGGGAGAGGAGGGAGGAGAGAGGGGTGAGGGAGGGAGGGAGGGGAAGAGAGGGGAGAGGGAGAGGAGGGAGAGAGAGAGAGAGAGAGAGAGAGAGAGAGAGAGAGAGAGAGAGAGAGAGAGAGAGAGAGAGAGAGAGGAGAGAGAGAGAGAGAGAGAGAGAGAGAGAGAGAGAGGGGGGGGGGCAGGGAAAGATACAGGACAGGCAGACAAAAAGAGGATGGAGGATAGATATAAAGAGAGAAGAGAGAAAAGGAGAGCTGGAGATAAAAAAAAAGACAACAAAATAGAAAATACGAAAAAAAGAATAAGAGAAAACGCATAAATCAAAGAAAGAGAAGCAAGCGTGAGAAGGAGAGAGAGAGAGAGAGGGAGGGAGACAGCGGTAATGGCGAGAGATGAAACCGATTCGAGGAGTAACCACCCCCACCCCCACCCCCACCACTCCCCCCACCCCCGCCCCGAAGAGTTTCTCGTGAGCAGCCAAGCGTCCCTCGCCTCACGCTGCTCGCCCTCAGAGAAAGAGAGAGAGAGAGAGAGAGAGAGAGAGAGAGAGAGAGAGAGAGAGAGAGAGAGAGAGAGAGAGAGAGAGAGAGAGAGAGAAGAGAGAGGAGAAGAGAGAGAGAGAGAGAGAGAGAGAGAGAGAGAGAGAGAGAGAGAGAGAGAGAGGAGAGAGAGGAGAGAGAGAGAGAGAGAAGAGAGAGAGAGAGAGAGAAGAGAAGAGAGAGAAGAGAGAGAGAGAGAGAGAGAGAGAGAGAAGAGAGAGAGAGAGAGAGAGAGAGAGAGAAGAGAGAGAGAGAGAGAGAGAGAGAGGGGGGGGAAACGTGTCCTTCCTCCTATTCCCGATCCATCTCCCTCCCCCCATTCGCATTCCTATTCCCATTTTTTCTCCTCACTCTTTCTCTTACTCTCCTTCTACTCCTCATATTTCATTCTTCCTCTTTCTTCTCTTTCCCTCCTCTTTCTCTTTCTCCTTCTCCTTCTCCTCCTCTCTTTCTTTCCTCTTTCTCCTTCTCCTCTTTCTTTCTCTTTCTCTCCTCTTTCTCCTTCACTCTTTCTCTTTCTTTTTCTTTCTCTCTCTTTATCTTCTCTTTCTTTCTCTTTCTCTCTTTCTTCTCCTTCACCTCCTCCTTTCTTTCTTTCTCTCCCTCTCCATCTTCTTTTCCCTCTCTCTCCGGATTCCAGTCTGCATTAAAAACACCCTCCTTCCACAACAGATAAATCCATCCCTTTCCACGCACTGTCACACCATGATGGTTGACATCTACCATTCCTCGCGACACCGTAACGCACCATAATCTACCTTATCTTTATCCTATCTTTATCCTTCCGTTTAAAGGAATTATACTTTTATTATCTTCGGTTTCTCATACTCCGATCCCGACAAACGAGAAACAAACATCAACAATACAAATAAAATTTAAAAAAAAAAGACTTTCCAACACTGTTCAGCCCGGAGTGAGGAAAAATGAGTCATTGCCAAGTAATTTCACTTGACAGTATCAACCTATCCAGCCGCATGACAACATTCCACCTTCGTCATACTGTTCCCGCAAAAAAAAACACGACGGGAAAACACTCTCACAGATCAATTCTTCCCGAAAATCCTGACGCCAACGTCGAGGCATTCACGGCACGCCTTGAGGCCCTCCACGCCGCACCTGCTCGCGCCGCCGACCGCCCCGCCCCGGCCCGCGAGTCGGCGCCCGGCACGCCCGCCAAGGTTTAGCCTCAAACCAAAACAAACAGAAAGAGAAAGGCGTGCGGCGCCGTCCTCCAGAGCCAGAGCGGCGGGCTTGGTCGGCGCTGGACTCGTTTGCGCAAACCGAGCCGACAAAAACGCGCTCTTGTTTGACTCATTCCGAGAAACTGAATCGAAGAAAACTAATGCATTTACATGTTCTCACTCTTGACATTACTGAACAAAGGAACCTTAAAAAGAACACATTTGCACGTTCTGGCAAATGTGAGCGAATCCCCAGAATATGAAGGGATTTGCATGCTTTCCCCGCGCCTCGTTTCGACAGCGAGCGGGCAGCCTGGGCGGCCGCGGCGCCGAACACTCACCAGGTTCCTCAGCTGGCCTCCTCCGGGAGCGGGAGGGGCATCGCTCGGATGCTGCTGCTGCGGAGGCTGCTGATGCTGCTTCTGCCGCTGCTCGGCCGGGGGTTCCTCTGGCCGGAGCTGCGGCTGCAGCCTGTGATCTATGTGGTGGTTGTGCTTCTGCTGTTGTTGCTGCTGCTGCTGCTGTTCCCTGAGGTGCAGCGGCCCGGGCCACGTGGAGGGCAGCGAGTGGGGACCGTTGTCCGGGCCATTGTTGACGTAAGGGTCATGGGGTCCACGGGGGGTGTGGGGACGGGACCCCGCCTGGGACCCTCCCCCGTGGGGATGGGGCTGCTGCTGGAGGAGCTGCTGCTGCTGCTTCTGCTGAATCTTCTGCTGCTTCTTACTGTCGAGCAGCTGCTGCTGTTTGTGCTGCTGCAGGTAGTAGGGGTGCTGTGAGGTCCTCGCCGGCAGGGTCCCGGGCAGGGTGCCGGGGAGGGTGCCCGGAAGGGAGCCGGGGAAGGAGGCCGGGCCCGACGGCGCCACCTGCGGGATGGGGCCCGAGTTGTGGCGCGGGAGGCCCTTGCTGCCCCGCTGCAGCCACGGCGGCACCCCCCACCAGCCGTTCTTGGGCGGGGGGGAGGCGGGGTGCGGGGCCCGGCGTAGAGCGGCTGGGGGCGGGCGGCGGGCAGGGAGGCTGGCCCGGGCTTGACGGAGCTGCTGGAGTGCACCGCCCGCGAGAAGAACCCCCGACTGGGCATCCCGACTCGCCTTACATGGCCCGCTCACCTCGCAGAAAGGACGGCGCCGCTCGCAGCTCGGGCAGGGCGCGACACCACACCTCACGGCAACGACACTTCACTCTCGACACTCGACACTCGACACTCTCTCTCGCGGCCACGGCACCGAGCTCGACATGGAGCGCACAGAGCACACGCGCGCGCAGGACCGGCGCACCAAAAGCCTCTCCGCTGACTGACTGGCGGCCACCAGGTGAGCGTAGTGGCGGCGGCGGCGGTGGCGGCCGGCCTGCTCACCGCCCCGGGCGCACACACACGCCGCTGCTTCCACCCTCGTCGTCGCTTCCACCTCGTCCTCACTCCACCCACCTCCGGCCCTTCCTCAGCACGCCCGAAGCCGCCCACGACCCGCCCGAAGACCAGCCCGAACGCCCCGCCAGGACTCCTCCGCCGCCGCGACGAAGGAAAAAGGCGTGGAAGGAAATCCCGCATGGCAACCGCTGCGAGGTGCGGGCCGGCCCCTTCCCCCCCCCCCCCCACCCCCCTGCCCTCCTGCCCGCACACTCATCAGGTAGTACTCCAAGCCCAGGCTCGGCCGCGACACTCCCACTCCCAACAGCTGAGTGACCAAGGGACAGGTACGCCGAGGTGTGCAGGCGAAACAGGGAAGGACTGAGGCAGATGGATAGAAATAGAAAGAGAATCAAAGAAAACCAGAGAAAACGAGGAAAACATGAGAGGGGGAGACAAAGGAGGGAAGAAGCGAAAGTGAGAGAGAGAGAGAGAGAGAGAGAGAGAGAGAGAGAGAGAGAGAGAGAGAGAGAGAGAGAGAGAGAGAGAGAGAGAGAGAGAGAGAGAGACAGAGAGAGACAGAGAGAGAGAGACAGAGACAGAGAGAGATTTTACCCAATGAAGAACCCATAAGCATGCATTCCAACTTATATAATGGCATACGGACAGCTATTCCATGCCAAAAACAAGGTCATCCGTCGACTATTTCACATTCAATTTCCCTTACATCCGAGTTCTATCAATCATTAAACTTCTAACTCTAACAGAGATGTAAGCAAAAACACAACAATAAGTAGACAAAAAGCATAAACAATTCAATAGTTCATCCCACGAACGCTGAAACAAATAAAAAATAAATAAAGATAGAAAGAAAGGACAGTTGATAAACGAAGATAAATAAAACAACCGGAAAAAATATTCTGGCAAAGCGTAAAAGCCTAAGGAACAAAATAAGCAAACCCCCTCACATAAAGATAAACATAAATATAACAAACAATTATAACAAGGATGACGATAACGACAAATTTAATAACTACAACAACCACTTCAAAAACAACTACAACTACTACTACAACAACCACAACTAGCACCACTACAACGGTCGAATAAAAAAATAATAATAAAATAGAAAAAAAAAAAATTAAAAAGAGCCTCCAAAAAAAAGTCCCGAGTAACGGCAAAGGAAACGGAAAAAAAAAACGAAACAAAAACAAAACAAAACGCAAAAACGACGACGTCTACCCGGGCACCCGATAAACAAGGATCCGCCCCAGCGTGCCGAGCCGACAGCCCGATTGCACACACGCATTCTCGCCATCGGCAACCGCTCTCCTGAATGCACCACGACGAAGACGACGACGAAAGCGACGCAAACGATGACGGCAACGGAAAAGACGACGACGATGACGATGACGAACGATGATGATGATGATGACGACGACGACGACGATGACGATGACGACGACGATATCGACGACGACGAAAGCGACGACGACGACGAAAGCGACGACAGAAACGGCGGCGGCGAGAGCGAGCGACCTTGGCGGCGCTGGTTACGCGAGAGGCGCGTTGCGTAAGTGGATGAGCAATCACACCCGCTTGAGATCATGAACATAAATACGACAACCGTCGAGAGAAAGCCACAAGGCTGACTGTAGCTGGAAAAGGAGGGAGGGAGGGAGGGAGGGACGGATGAAAGAAAGAAGGAGAGAGGGAAGGAGAGAGAGGAGAGAGAGAGAGAGAGAGAGAGAGAGAGAGAGAGAGAGAGAGAGAGAAGAGAGAGAGAGAGGAGAAGAGAGAGAGAGAGAGAGAGAGAGAGAGAGAGAGAGAGAGGGAGGGAGGGAGGGAGGGAGGGAGGGAGGGAGGGAGGGAGGGAGGGAGGGAGGGAGGGGGAGGGAGAGAGGGGAGAGAGGGAAGGGAGGGGGGAGGGAAGGACGGAGGAAGGAGGGAAGGAGTGAGTGAGTGAGCAAGGGAAAGGGGTAGGCTGAAGGGAGTGAAATTGGGTGGCGGGAGGGAGGGAAAAAGAGCGATGGAGGAAGGGAGAGAGGAAATGAGAACGAAGATGGGCGAGGGATATACGAAAGAATCAAGACACACGAAAATGAAAAAAGAAGAAAGAGGAAGCCGGACGAAAGAAAGGAAAATATCGACAGCAGTGACGAAGGAAAGAAAAAAAAAGGAAAAAAGAATGATACAAGGCAAAAGAGAGTAAAATAAAACAGGAGAAGAAGCAGCGATGGAGGGAATGGAAGAATGGCGAAAAAGTGACATGCGGGCGAAGATGCCGGTGATATGGAAGTGAGAACTGGGGGAGGGGGAGGAAGGAGGGGGAGGGGAGGAAGGAGGGGGGGGGTGGGGAGGAGGAGGAACTTAATACGCATGGAAGCGAAACATAATGCGCTGGGTTCGAGGAGGGAGGGAGGAGAGGGGAGGGAAGGGGAGGAGGGAAAGGGAGGAAGGAAGGGCAGGAGGCAAGGTAGGGGAGAAAGGCTAGGGAGAAGGGGAGGGGAAGAGGGAAGGTGGAGGGAAAGGGTAGGAGAAGGGGAGGGGAGGAGGGAAGGAAGGGGAAAAAAGGGTAGGGAGAAGGGGAGGGGAAGAGGGAAAAAGGGTAGGGAAGAAGGGGAAAAAAGGGTAGGGAGAAGGGGAGAGGAAGAGGGAAAGGGGAGGGGAGAAGGGGAGGGGAAGAGGAAACGAGGGCGAGAAAGAAAGACGGGGAAGATCATAGGCTCCCTTTAGTCTCCCCCTCTTAAAAAAAAGAGAGGGAAGATGAGGGAAAAAAAACGAGAGGAAGGAGAAAGGAAGGGATGATGGAAAGGGAGGGAGACGAAAGGAAGGGGAAGAGGAGAGTGAAGGGAAGGGGAAGAAGAGAGTGAAAGGAATGGGAAGAGGACAGGGAATTGAAGGGATAAGCTGGGAACAGGAAGAAGAAAGGATGGGCAGGGGAGGGGAAGATAGGGGAGGAAGAAGGGGAGAAGAGAAGCTCTACAGGTGGCCGTGAAAGGGAAGGGAGAGAGCTTGGGGGGGGGGGGGTATGCTCGAAGACCGTGGGACAGGATATCTTAAAAAGGGTGGGTGGTTGGGTGAGAGAGAAAGAGAAAGAGACAGAGACAGAGAGAAAAACAGACACAGTGACACACACACACACACACACACACCACACACACACACACACACACACAACACACACACACACACACAGAGAGAGAGAGAGAGAGAGAGAGAGAGAGAGAGAGAAGAGAGAGAGAGAGAGAGAGAGAGAGAGAGAGAGAGAGAGAGAGAGAGAGAGAGAGAGAGAGTGAGAGCGAGAGAGAGAGAGAGAGCGACAGAGACAGAGAATGAATAAGGCAGAAAAAAATACACAAGAGGGAAGAGAACGAGCGACTGAACCCAAGACGAAGCAAAACGAAGCAAGCCCAAGCAAAACAATGCAAGCCCAAGCAAAACAAATGCAAGCCCAAAAGCAAAACAAAGCAAGCCCAAGCAAAACAATGCAAGCCCAAAGAAAAACAATGCAAGCCCAAGCAAAACCAAGCCCAACCGAAACGAAGCAAATCCAAGCAAAGCAAATCAAACCGGAGCGAGGCGAGGCGGGGACAGACGCGAGTTCCTCTGCCCCGACGTGACTAAGCCCCGGACGTCCCGAGAGCCGAGCCGCCCCCTCCTCTTCCTCCTCCTCCTCCTTCCTCCTCCTTCCCCTCCTCCTCCTCCTCCTCCTCCTTCTTCCTCCCACCTTCCCCTTCCTCCCCCTCCTCCTTCTCCTCCTCCTCCTCCTTCCTCCTCCCCCTCCTTTCTGTCCTCCCTCCTCCTCCTCCTCCCCTCCTCCCCTCCTCCTCTCCTCCCCCCTCCTTCCTCCTCCTCTCCTCCTCCTCCCTCCTCCCTCCCTCCTCCCCCCTCCTCCCTCCCCTCCCTCCCTCCTCCCCTCCCCCTCCCTCCCTCCCTCCCCTCCCCTCCCCTCCCTCCCCTTCCCCCCTCCCCTCCCCTCCTCCTCCCGCCACGAAGCAAATAACCCGAGTCTCTTCCGCGCGCGCGTCCTTGCCACGTCCCTCTCCGTCTCCTCTGGTTCTTGTTATTGTTCTTGCTCTCATCTCCGGGGTAAGTGTGTGTGTGTGTTTGAGTGTGTGTGCATGTGTGTGGTGTGTTGGTGCGTGTGCGTGCATTAATTTGCGTGCGAATGAAAGTGTATTAGTGACAACGAATGAGAATAGCAGTTCGAGGTAGCGTATACGTGTGAGATCGTGTGCAGGTCCTATACATTAGTGTGTATGTGCTGTGCATGTGCTATGCACGTATACAAGAACACACACGTATTCGAGTGTGTATTCCCATCAGACATATCCGCACACAAGCCACACACTGACGCCGCTAACACAAAAGCCGAAGAGAGAGAGAGAGAGAGAGAGAGAGAGAGAGAGGAGAGAGAGAGAGAGGAGAGAGAGAAGAGAGAGAGAGAGAGAGAGAGAGAGAGAGAGAGAGAGAGATGCAGGGAAGGAAAAAAACGAATTATAACAAATCAAATAAACAATAAACCAAAAACAATAAATCAAATAAAAAAACGCAACACACGTACGCCAAACACCACGGCCTATCACGAACTAAACGAAGCACACAAGAACACGTAACAAGAACGAGGGAAAAGGTCA